GTTTGCTGAAAAGAAAATCCCTTCACACCTTCCTTTGACATTAACTGTGGAAAAGGAACAATTTGCTAAAAGGTAACTGTTTATTTAAATCGAACAAAGCAACCTTTTATTATTGCATTGTCTTCACTCCAACGAAAATATTCTCCAACGGTTTAGTTCCTTATTGAATATGACATTCTTTCCTTTAACTAAAACAGCAAAAAGATTTATTGTTTGTATTGACATTGTCTTGTCTCCTAGTTACCCTCCTGTAGAAACCATCTGTTTTTATTGTAAATCACCACTAACTGAGCCACACTGTGTAACAAGAAATGCAAAGTTGGTAACTATGAAAGGGATTATTGAAGGTTTGTCATTAATATGAAACAGCGTGTATGATGGACGTGGGCAATGTCTGGGTACCAAGTAGTTGTTCCATCTTGGGAAGGAGTTGGTAAGGTTTCCGATCTCCTAATTCTTCGCATGTGAGCAGTTGGTGAAGTCACTGTTGCTCAAATGTTGAGGTACAGTGGATTAATTTGCATCGCAGGAAGTCATATGGATCAAAAGCAGGGGGATGAAGGATGATATCGCAAACCTCTTGAGCAATTTCGGGTTGAAGGGAACGAACAACGTATGCGTATTTGGTTTTTTGCGAGGTGATATTTCGCATCGTAAATTGAGCGTCAATTTGAGAAAAGCAAAGTTCTGGGTCGTTAGGCCTGTATGGTTGAAGTTTGATGATGATCATAGAAGCGGTTGGTGTGACAGATAAAAAATCTGTTGTTCAAGAGGTGTTGAGAGTTCATCAGATGGAGCCATTTCGCCAGTCAAGAATATCTTTTGGGGTCACCAATTTAGCGTTATATAAGCCTTATGTACGAGCTCCGAGCGTGAGTCAATGTACTTGAAGTCTATTAAGTTTCTGTGATTATTTTATTCACTAGCGAAGAAGTTATTCACACCATTTGTGAATATTCTGTTATGTACAATTTATTTGCTTTTGTAGTTTTCTTTAACTAGGTGCAGTTATTACGAGGCGGATAAAGTACTTGAAATTTAGGTACATTTACGTAATTATAAAGTTAAGTGCGTAAGTTTAAGTGGCACGTTTCAGTCAAAGTAGGATTGGCTATTTCCTTTGATGTCAAACATGCTAAAAAATGCAGAAAAGAGGTGTCAAGTGCAACAATACAGTTAGCTGATATCAAATGTCAATGAGGAAGATGAACAACATTCACACATTAAAGAAGGTAAATAACACAAGCACTTAAGATAATCTCAACTAAATAATTTAAGATTTAATAGTATTTTATAAATTCAATTTTAGAAGATGGGCATCAGACAAAAAAAGACTTCTGTAGTCAAAACCCTCCTCACTTTCAAATAACACACCAAAAAAAAACATCAAAGAAGAAGAATGATGAAATCAAAACAGCAAACAATTGCAAGGCTCAATAAAAAAGTCAAAAGTTGGAAGAAAAACACACCAACAAATGATTCACTAAATACTGAATTGGAAAAATTACCAACTCAACTGGCAAATATTATAAAAGAGCAAATAAAGCTACATTTAGCAAAAGAACATGGAAGAAGGTACTCACTAGAAGTTAAGTCCTTAGCAGTTTCATTGTATCATGCTAGTGGCAAAGCATATAATCTCCTCTCCAAGCTTTTTATTCTGACAACAAAATCTTCAATAAGACAGTTTGTTTCACGAATTCTGATAGGTATCCTGCAGGTATTCCACAAGCAACCCTACATCTATTAAAAGAAAAGGTCTGTTACATGAATATGGAAAAACTGGGCACTCTTTGTGTTGACAAGATATCATTGAAAATGCACCTGTACTACAACCTCAGACAATAAGATCGTTGGTGTAGAGGACTTTGGGGGATACCGGACAAATAAATTGGCAACATCATGTCTTGTATTCATGCTGCAAAGTATATCTGGAGGATAGAAACAACCTTTCAGATATGTACTGGTAAATGAGGCTTGTCCAGCTTGTCCATGTCACTAAAACTGAATGTCACTTACTAAAAGCCATGGTTTTTTCACAATGGGAAAAAGTATTTCTAAACTTTCATCCTCCCAATCTGCTTAAGTGCATACAGAACAATCTCATAAACAACACTTTTCATTTGGGAAAATATTCTGCTTGATGGAAATACATAGAAAATTTTTATCGAAGATATAAGTCACTGTCAATCGGGGCAGCATCTAAACTTACAGATAAGCACCTTCAACCCACCAATTTCCCAAAAATGAAGGTAAAATATGCCACACAAATTTTTAGTCACACTGTAGCTGCATCTATTTGCACATATTCATCAATTCGAGCCTTGCCGCAATGAGCCTTGGGTACAGCAGAGTTGCTTTTTAAGTTTGATTCACTTTTTGATTGTACCAACAGTTCCACACTAAAATCACCCAAAGAAAGGAGTGCCATTACCAATAAAAATACACAAATTTCTTTTTTTAAAGAAGTCATCTTCTTCATCCAGGGAATCAAAGTGGTGAAAGATGGCAAAGACATAACAGGCAGAATAAAATAATTGAAGGGATGGCTTGTATCTATAAATGCCATTGTTTGTCTCTGGAATCATCTTCATGTCTCACACAATTTTACATTCTTGTTTACTAGGAGATTAAACACCGATGCTCTTGAGAATTTTTTTGAAACCATTCGTCAACAGGGTGGAAATTGTGACAAACCCTCGCCAATACAATTTATCAGAACTTTTAGAAAACTTTTTTCAGTTCACTTTTGTCATCCTCCAAAGGAATGTCTCCTACCCAGGCCCATACAGATATTGAATTGCTCCTGCGGGCTTTTTTCTGGATTTCTTATGATTTCTGCTTCAAAAACGACACGTAAACAACTCTGGTTGCCATGCAAATGGTCTATATTTTTTTACCCAAGTGCACAAATGGCTCAAAAACAAATTTATATTGAAAGAAAATTGGAAAAAACACTCCTAACTCAAGACTACAATAACTAAAGTTGCCTTAAAAACGATGTCCTAAAAATTGCCATTTTTTCAAGAATTTTGGCCTATCGAGCCACCTTAAAGATATATTCATCATCAAGGTTTAGTTCTGTGGCTGAATCAACATCTTTCATCACACTTGGCAAGACAATTCGAGTTGCAAGCTTTTTTGGTAGGCTTTCCATTGCTGGCTTTACCACATGAATAGTTGGTTCATCTCTCTGTAGGAGGTTGAACTCTGTAAATAGTGTAATTGCTGTAGTTTGGAAAAGCAAAGCAGGTTCTAACAATGGATTATCAAACCATTCATGTAGCCTTTGAAATCGCTGATCACCACCAGTGCCATTTTCAGTTAAAAAGTATGATTTCAAACTAGGAAACTTTTTAAGAATTCTCTCCATGCATCCTTGTAGTGACAACCATCGGACAGACAGGTGCTTTAGCACAGCCTGGTAATCTTGGTTACAGAACTCAAAATACTCAAGAAGTTTGCCTTTCCTCTTGGAGCTTTTATCAAACCAATAATAAGCATCTACACATATATCTTCAATGTTTAGTCCTAAACTGCCACTGAAACTATCATTAGCATGACTGGCAGCAATATGTGCTAGATGGCATGGACTCCCTGCAATAAAAATTTCAGGATTCTTGCTGCATGCAGGCTGCGCCCAAGCTCCCCCTGAACTCGGAAGCCCGCAATGACCAAGCTTGATGCATTATGCCGCCGCATGGCTCGTCAATGCGATCAAGGGAGACGATCCGATCGTACTCTCTGATGATTTGACACAAAGGAACTACACTAATAATTGTCTACAAAAATTTATAGACTCTTTAAGGATTTCTATTTTATTTATCGTGAGATATACGAGAAAAATCGTAAGACCGTGAGATTTACATCAAAATCGTGAGTCTCACGATAAAATCGTGAGACTTGGCATGTCTGTATTGCATAATGAAGTTTTTATAAAATTCATTGGTGATTACTCTGGAGTTGTTTTCAAATGACTCACATCTCTTCTCTGTTACATCATAAGCATGCATTTGTTGTGTAACTGTTATCATTGGTAGATGTATTATATCATTTCAATCCAAGATGTCTTCCCTATCAATCAAAGCTGAGTCCTCAAATAAAAGAAAAAAAGAAAACAAAATTTTAGCTCTGCAGAATGCTCTCTTCTTGTTGAGCTTGTGGAGAAAAATTTGGATGCAATACGAGGGCAATTTTCAAGTAGCATAACAAATGCAAAAAAAACAAGAGTTGTGGGAGAAGATAGCCTCGCAAATAAACAGCTTGGGGTTTGAAAATCGCACGCCAAAAGAAGTGCTTGAAAAATGGAGAAACCTGGCACAGATTGCCAAAAAAACCAATGCTGGAATAAAGAGTTCGCAAAGAAAAACAGAGGGAATTCCTGCTACAAAACCACCTTCTTTAATAACGGAGAAAATCATAAATATTTTGGGAGATGAACCTTCATTCTCAGGTATTCAAGGAGGCTTCGAGTCTGGTGGTACATTTGTAGGTAATTATGATCTTAAAATCTCATTCTTTGAAATGCATAGAAGAATTCTGCGTAAAAGAATAAGCAGAAGGAAGATTTACCATTTAATACAACACAAGGGATTTTAAATTTTCCCGCCATTACGCTAAACACAACAATATAATTTATACAAACCAACCCATCCCGAAATAAAATGGCCGGCTTGAAATAACCGAATATGTGTTCAGGATGGAGTATTGCCAAACTTGTTTTACCAAGAATACGATGGTATAAATACAAAATATGATTTTTATATGCTCAATGAAACGATTGTATTAATTTAAGTTTTGATGATTTGTTTGCATAATGGAAAAATATACAGTAAAACAAAAAAGGTAATACCTTTTTATCTTTTCATTGTGCTATGTTTTTTTTAACGTTTTGCAGAGAGAGAGAGTAATTCATGTCACTTGAGCACCTTGGTCAAAACCAACGAAGAAGATGAGGGTGGTGAGGACATGGAATTAGGCAAGACTCCAATACCAACAACATCCACACTATCACAATGTGAGCATTTAATTATGTTTATATCCATTGTTGTATTCATAGCTTATAAAGTCTATTTGTGCATTGTATTGAACTTAATTCACAGGCAAAGAATCAAGAACATTCCAAAGGAAACGACCAAAGACTCAAGGAGAGATGAAAAATGATGTTCAACAACTTCATGTTGAGCTTCTTCAACTGGAAAAAGAAAAAATGTTGTTTGAGAAGCACAACCTAGAGTTGAAGAAAAGAAAACTCGAACTACGAAACTCGAAGTAGTTAACTACTTTAAACTGCAAAAAGTGTAGTTGAAAAGTAGTTAAGAGCTTTATACAACCGGCCCCAGAAGTACTATTTTAAAGCTATTAAGTTAATAAAAATATATAGGAACCAGAACATTTCCAAATTGAGTTACATTTTTTTATGAGTTTTCTTCGCAAAAATTGAGTATAGTTGGTGAAAAGGAGTAATACAAGTAAGTAAACAACATATTCAATCCGTTATAGTTTTATAAACTTCTAAAATAAACTTATAATTTTCGATGAACTAGATGCCGCATCCTTGTGCAATCTATGGTATACACACGCAATGTTCTCGGAAACTGCAATTCGCTTAGTTTTAATTTATTATAGTTTTATAAACTTCTCGATAAGACTTATAATTATCGAAGAAACGGGTGCCTTCCTTCACGCTGTCTGTGGTTTTATAACTCATGCAATATTATCAAAATGCACATAATATAAGGCAAATTTTTTTTACAAAGTCAGTAACATAACGATACACTGGAAGTAGAAAGACGATAGACAACAGCGAAGTGTTACGAACGTCCCGACTAATAATAAAATGGCCGCTTTTGGTTCAATTGCTCGTAACAAAAGGAGTAAAACCTTGTGGAGAAGTTGTTGTCAATTCTTAAGATATTTATTTAATATACTAATATTTTTGATATAAACGTTATAATATAAATGTTTAAATGTTCAAACTTATCTAAGACAACTACTTTCAGTGACTCTTTCGTTGATGGATTGGATATATATTTGGATTCTTTGGTTGTTTTCGTAAATAGTTCGTTTTCTTTTACATGAGCTTTCTTCTGATGTGGACTTCTACTAAAGCCTAGTTTCCATATAATCGTCCGAATCGTTTCAACGTTTTTGAAACGACTCAGACGATTATATGGAAACACTTTACGAACGATTGAGACGATCCATCCGATTGGACCATTGAGTTCTATAATAACTGGAGGGGAAACGTCAACAAAATTAGTTTAAATTATTAGCGCGCGGCCGCGTGGTCAAAAACATGGCGGATTTTCGTGGTCAAAGTCAGCGGAGAGACGCGGGCTCATGAAATAAAATTTTTGTCGCCCACCCTGATTTGACCACCACGATTGCGAGTATTCTTTGTTTGCAGTCACGTGATTTATTGCTTCAAAATGTTATTACGGCTTTCAAGTGAAGGGCTAAAGAACTAAGATGGCGGCCAATGCTACTATAACTAAGCCAACAGCAACAACGCAAAATTTACTATCCGAGTACTTTTTATCTCTTCAACCAAAGGCAAAGTCAAGATACCAAGAGAAGCTTTCCTTATGTGATGGACTGGATCCATATTCTCTAAAAAAGAGTGACTTTTTAACCGATCATAACAATTTCCCTAACTTGCAGTTTCCTGACATTTCAAATTATTTGGTCGTTCAAACTTCATTTTATACGAAGAAACAAATGAAAGCATATAAAAGTCTTGAAGCTTACAACTTTTTTGTTTGTGGTTGGGTCCATGAAGTAAAATCAAGACGTGTAATGGACAACAACAATTGCCTTGTTTTTGCGAGAGTAAGTACATTTTTGTTCCATTACAATTTGCAAGTAAACGATTGCTTGTTGTTGTTGATTTGAGTTAGTTCTTATTACTTTAATATATCTAGCAGTTGTTTCAAGACAAATTTAGGACTCCTATTTTTTTACTAAGGTCAACCACTCACAAAGATCAACAGCAACTCCTTTAAAAGCTTGGGTCATTCTCAAAGATGACGGCGAAGTTCTTACTGCTCACTGTAATTGCATGGCTGGGTTAGAAAGTGTTTTGTTTTTCAAATTTTTCGTGCATTTGTGTTTTGAATTACAAAAAGTCAAGCACTGTTGTAGATACTGTTTTTTGTTGTAGGCTGGCTGAATCGTGTACTCACGTGGGTGCCCTGTTGTATTTCATTGAATCAGCAGTACATATGCGTGAGTCTGTAGTCTGTACAATGGAGAAAAGTAAATGGCTGTTGCCAGCACATATAAAAAAGGTAATTATCATGCACATTTACAACATTTGATATAATTTATCATTACTTTGAACACTGATTGCAAACAGATGTGTTATTTTTTTTAGATAAATGCTGCCCCAGTTTCCAACATAGACTTCTCTTCTGCCAGGGCTAAAAAACAAAGACTTGATAGTGCTATCAGAGGTGAAGCAGTTGAAGCAGAGAGAAAAACAAAAGCATCATGTCCAAAAGTTGTTGTTGGATCTGAGGAATATAATAATTTTTTTAAGGCATTGAATGAGAACTACCCATTGAGTGCTGTTTTAATGACACAAAAATTGTATCATGAGAAATTCATTCCTAAATCATCTACAGAAGTTCTCCCAAAGCCATTAATAAACTACAGATCAGATGCATCACTAGAGCTTTTTATGACGAGTTAATGGATCAATGTAGAAAACTAGTGCTGCAAATAAGCAAAGACCAAATAAAAGCTGTTGAAGTTCAAACTCGAAAACAGGCTGGTTCCAGGACATGGTTTACTCAGAGGGCATGCCGCATAACTGCATCAAGATTGAAAGCTGTGCTTAGTACCAAGCCTGAAAATCCCTCAAGAAGTTTGATTAAATGCATATGCTACCCTGAGGCTCACAGATTTTCTACTGCTGCAACAAGGTCAGTATAGAGCTTTATTGTCGAGTAGGTCAATAATTAATCACATGAAATGGTACATTTGTCAAGGAAAATTTGTGAAGCTCTCATGCTCTATTATATTTTGGCTTGATATATATTACAGACATGGTTGCAAACACGAAATACAGGCGAGGAAAGAATATGAGAAAGTCATGAGAAAAAGTCATTACAACTTTTCATTGTGTGACAGTGGTCTGAGAATCAATCCTAAATGGCCATTCATGGGAGCATCACCTGATGGTGTGGTGAATTGTGACTGCTGTGGCATGGGGCATGTGAGATAAAGGTTACAATAATAAAAAAATTAGTTCTGTTGTTATTTAAACATGATTCAGGAAGTGACACATTTATTGTCTGTATTGTTTATCAGTGCCCTTACTGTAAAAAGGATGGAGAAAAATAGAAGAATGTGCCGGTGAAAAAGGCTTTTGTCTGGTAAAGAATGAAGGTGAGGGTGTACAACTCAGCAGGAAACACAGCTACTACTTTCAAGTCCAAGCACAAGTAAATATCATGGAACTTGATTACTGTGATTTTATTCTTTGGAATGAGAGTGATATTTTCATTGAGAGAATTGTTCCAGACAAAGAATTGTGGGATACTATTGTGGTTAAGGCAGAATATTTTTTTAGGAATTGCATACTACCCGAAGTCCTTGGGCAGCATTTTTCAAAGCCTCTCCTCACTTCCCACCCTTCCAATTTCATATGATATATTTAAACTTAAAGATGGCATTATATTTATAACAAACATTGCTCTAGCCATCAAGTAGCAATAAATATATCAAAAGTTTTAGTTAAATAGATGAAGATGTTTATTAATAAAATAGATGGAGACGTTTCTTACATGTTGCTCTCAAGTTTTCAATTTTAGGGACTATTGTTTTACTCCACAGGGACTACAGATTGAGATAAATTAGTTAAAGCACAACATATGACTGCTATCTTATCAATTACTGATTGTACTTCACCAGGTTTTTTGTACATGTACTCTATCGGAAGAGCACCACTTTGAAGAACTTGGTACTTTCTACGAACCAGTCCTATCACCCTTTCAACATGTATTCTTACATTTGCAATTTTTCAGGTCTCTTCCACTTCATATGGTGATAACTGTGTTTTCCTTTTTGTAAATGCTGGCGTTTTCAATGAAGCACAATAAAGCCCAACACTCTCCTCAATGTTAAAACCTCTATCAGCAAGAACAACATCTCCAGGTAATAAATTCTCCAAAATACCACTAGCTTCAGTTAATTGTTTGTCACTCACTCTTCCTCCCCAAGCACTTGAAATGAAGGTCACAACTCCTTGTGGAGCAATTCCGATCAAAAATTTTACAGTATTATGATGTTTATAATTAGACCATGTTTGGCCACGAGCTAATAAATTTGATGGTCGCTCAATGAAAACTTCAAAGCAGTCTAGTACAACAGCAACTTTGCATCCAAAGGACTTTCTAAAATCCATAGGCGTAGTTGCCCACAATGTTTCTCTGCTTGGCCACTCAACAAGAAACTGGAGTCTTTGATGCATGATGGTAACAATTTTGTGAAAAATTCTTGATGCTGTGGAGCATGATACTCCAAACCTGTAAGCTAAATCCTGTAGTGGAAGATTTAATTTCAATCTCATCAGAACCAAAAGTAATTGCTCGAACTTTCCCAAAGAAGATCTCTTCGCATGTGTTATAAAGGGTTCACAAAGGTTGAAAACTTGTAATAGTACCAGGAAGTTTGGCAGCCCAGTGTAAAACTTGGCCTTGTCATTATCCTTTTCAAAGCTTTCTCTACTGATTAGTGCTTCAAGGGCTTTCTCTTTAAGTGTGCATAGTTCCTCATTGCATCTCTTTATGTCTTCTTCCATTGACTTTAAATAGTTGACTGTTAGGTCTGTTTGGCACTCTACATGTTGAACCTGTCTTTCAGTCTGGCATTCAGCATGGTTGATATTTGACTCTATTGAAGCAAAACTATGAATAAGTACAAAGTTTTTCGAAAAGCAAATATAAAAATACTTTTACCTTGTTGTAAATATAAGTTATTTTCTCCTGGGTGTTCATGTTCTTGATGGACGTTAAACTCCATTCGAGCCAGCTTTTGTAAATCAAGGAGGGCAACGGCTGCTTCGGAATGGCGTCGTTTAAGGTCTCGCTTTTTGGTCCGATCGTTTCTTTTAATGGCACTTTCACGAATAGGTTTTAATTTCTGGTGACCCAATTTAAGTGTAGGAGCCCAATCAACGTCGTGTTCGTCGTAGACATTGCTGGACGACCTTGGAAACAAAAAAATGATGAATGTAAACAATTATATTCATAGAGCCTATAGACATTTTGCAAGGCGCTTCAGTTCAAACTCTTTCGCAATTGCTTTTAATATTGAATTACAAAGTTCGTCTACGCACCTTTAACAAAATGTTCACCACATACGCGAGCATGGGGGTTTCGATACCTTTCGAGGACAATGAAAGGTTTCTGAGCCACTTTTCACGACGTCTTTTTGTTAGTTTTTTTAATGTTTCGCCTTTATGGAGAATTTCTTTCGGTATCCTATAATAGCCTTTATCGTTTTCTCGATTAGCTCGATTAGAGCAATTAAAAACTGAACAGCAATCTGGCATATTTGAATAAAGAACACATGAAGGGCAATCACGCTTATGATATAATCTATTTACCTGCCCTTCAGCTGGAAATATGAATACCTAATGACAGTGGAAATACAGGAAGTGACGTCTATTGCAAACAAAGAATAGAAAATATCAAAACTATTTATTTTCCTAACATAAACACTTTTTTAAAACTTTATTTATTACGCTGCCAACTTTTGTGGTTTGCGGATGCTGAAATAGCGACAGAAAAGGGAACATTTCTTGACTCCGGTAAGTAGCACAGTATTAGTTTTACTATTTTGTTTTTAACACGATACATGAAGAGTGTTTCTACTACTAAGTTTTAATTTAAAGTTATTTTGGTCCAGTCTTGTTTGTTGTTCACTTAATCGCCCGCCAGACGTGGCGAAGCTGTCAATTTTTATCGAGTTTTGCATCCACCTTGTATCATGATCAAGGCATCAAGCTAAACTCTCCTGATTTGAATTGAGTTTACCTCCCAAAAATGGGGCATAATTTGTTCATGTTTTTTTTTGAAAAGATGAAAGGAAAGTTTACAACAGAATTGTGTTGAAATCGAATGCAGTGCCATCCAAAATTATTGAGAACTATGGTATATGTTGTATAATAAAAATAACTATTAAACTGTTTGCCTGCTCAATTTGACTGACTGTATAGTGTAGACAATTATAATGGGATTGGAAAGTTGGATTTATGCAAACAATTTTAAAGTACTACTTAGAGTTTCTGTAAATGAAGTATTTATTGTTATAGTAAACAGGTTACTACTTCAAAACCAAGATAAAAGTAGTGTGTTGAGCAATGTGCTAAGATTTGTTTCTAACTTGAAATTTTTGTTCAACAGTAGCTTATGATTATATCATTAATATGCATGAAAAATTAAACATATTATTGTCTCATCTCTCCAAATCCATACTTGGTATGATTCCAGGTGATCCACAAATTCACATCGGATGCATTGGTTACAATGAAGTTGAATGTAGAAGAAGCAAAAATAGATGGCAAAGAAATTCTTTGTGTCTTATGAAGAATTAGTAGAAATCAATAAAGAGAATTCTTTAAACAAATTGTAAACAAATTTAAATTTGCTCATGGTGAAGCAACCTAGTCAAAGAAGCAAAGTCTGTCTTCAACATGTGACCTTTCCAATTATTTAGTTTCTTTGTACAAAATACTATTTTCGAGAAACTCGATTTGTAAGTCTTTCATTAATATTTTTTTACCAAGAGATAAAAGGAACTAATTCAAAGGCTTGATGTAAAATACAAAGATTTAACAAGTTGTTTCTCATTTAATTCCCAAATGTTAGTTTGTACATATAAATAATTAGTATTGGTAGCTGTAAGTTGTTTAAGCAAAACAGAAGAGTAGTAGTGCTCGAAGAGGCTAGCATTTTTGAAAAATTATATCTTGTTCATGACATACTTTTTTCTTTTTTGTAGCTCTTCTAGTTCAACATACTTTCTTTATGAGTTTTCAGTAGATTTATCAGGTAATGACAATACACTTATGATACTTATCCATGGTAAACTTTCAGTTGACTTATGTCGTAGGACTGAAGGAAACATTTTCTCGCTTCCTTAGGAGCATTTTTACACAGATTTATCCATTTGAAGCAAGAAAAATAGGTGCACCAAACTGTCTACAAACAGTCAAACACACAAAAGCATGAAATAATGTATAAGTTTGACGAGATTGACAGGTCTAGTAAAGAATGCCGTTTGATTTTCACTTTTAAAAGGCTAAAATGTCATAAAATAACTTAAATGTTACATCCAAAATATGCGCTTTCTACCGTCGATCTTCTTTATTTTGATGTGTGTCTGTACTGTGTTTTTCACGACTGCTGAAGCATTATTTTCACATGATATGCTGTCGGTATCGTTGTTTTTTTCTCACTTGTTTTCGTTCATACAAACAGTATTAGAAATCAGGAGGGAGTGAATATTGAAATATATTTTTAAAGTGGAAGTTTTGACCACCAAAATCCGCCATGTTTTTGACCACGGGGTCCAGGCCCCTCCAGGTTTTATAGAGCTCAATGGATTGGACCGACTGCAAACGCTTGTATCGTCAGCAATGAAGTATTTGCCGGTTGCCAGTCTCCCTTAAATTTGCGCGGTTTTTGCAATGCATTTTGGGATCGCCTGGGGGCAAACATTTCTTTAGAAACTTATCTGTAATAGTGATATTTTTGAGAATTCTTAATTTAAAGCACCTATTTCCATTATAATGGCTATTCGTTGTAATGGTTATTCGTTACCAGTTGCGAGAAAAGAAGTAAAAGTATGTGGAGACGGCAATTGCTTTTATCGAGCAGTTGCGTTGGCTATAAACGGTGAAAGCGACATAAACTTTGCTCACATTCGAGAAATGTGTAACGATGTTTTAATGCAGAACATTTGATGATTATAAATTACACCAAAATGGTCATGTAAGGAATTTATGTGGAACTATTGTCTATGACAATGATGATAGCAAGTTTCACATTGTCATTGGCAGTGTTTTACCCACACAAAGGGACAAAACACCAGAAGGCATGAAAGAATACAGATCCTGGTTCATACTTTCACCAAATGGCTCTGTGTTTTCTGCATTTTGTGAATGTAAAGGTGGTTCATATCAGGGATGCAAGCACTTGGGTGCTTGTATGTTTGAACTTGAAGAGTTTTTGTCAGGTGAAAGAACTTCAGTGACTTCACTTCCAGCATACTGCCAACCAAAACCAACACCAAGAAATAAGCCCTTACCATTGCTGGAAATGAAAATTTGTCACTTGGTGAAACCCAAACGGAAAAGGAAACATGTATCTCTCGACGACTCTTGGGTTGACTCATTTGACCCAATGCCAAATCGTATGAGAACCACAATAAGTGAAGTAGACAAAGTAGAATTTGCCAGGAAGTTGAGAGACATTGATGAAAATTCTGGTATTTTGGATTTCCTTCCTGAGTGCCCACATTCAGACAAAGTAAAAAAAATGAAAACTGTTTTTAAACTTAATAGTCTTAACATAGAAACAAACAACACAGTCTCAAGCTTAAATAGATGAATAGCATCAATTGACAAAACGGCTTAAATAGATAATAATCATCAATCCAAGGGAATAACGATCCAAATTCAATACGTTTTGCGCACCCGCGAAAAGTTAACATGGCGGAAAAGGCAGGCCGCAGCTGCAGCACAGGTATGTAAATAGAAATAGGCATTTTATAATCAGGTCTCACAAGCCTTTCATATTTTTCATTTCGATCATGTATCAATGTTTTCCTTTCTAACAAGGAGTTTAATTTTACTTGTAAAAATGGTTTTAATCAAGACGAATTCTCGAATCAAAATCGAGAGCTGCAGTTTGACTGTTTGAGTTGCGTGACATCGTGAAATGTTGAATGCTTGACTTACTGGATTTGACCGTTTCAATTTATTTGCTAGTTTGCTCATAATTTGTAGTATTTATAATCATATCGTTTAAAAAATTAAAATTCTTGTATTTTTCTTCATTGACTTTGATTGATGTTTGATCGTGAATCCTGATCAGAGTCAAGCCAATATTTTAAAGATAGTGCTTTTAGTTTGTATTAGATTTATTTAATCATGTAGAAAACGTTTATTTAACAAGTATTTTTTGCTAAAAGTTATTAAAAAAAGATTTGATTAAAAAGAAATGCTCGGGGGCAAAAGTAGAACGTTAATTAGGGGGTGTTTATATTCATGTATTCAGCTCTGCCCTGCTGATTTCTTTTGTTTGCGATTTTAATTTCAATAGAAGTCAGCAGGGCAGAGCTGAATATATGAATATTCACCCCAATTAATTTTCTAGTTACGGCACTGGAAATGCTATCCCCAGTGTTAATGGACGATTTATTATTTTTTTATTATTACCCATGTGCCTCATACGTTGATAGACTTTTTCAATAATGACCTAATTTCTTTGATAAACTCCATTTGCAAATTGGAAAAATATTCCTGTATGCTGTCCAGCATTGCGTAGTAAACTATGAATTGTACGTAAGGATCTATTTTGTAGTTGCATGTATAAATGTTCTTTCAAATAGAACAACATATTATTACCATCATCAGACTTTATGTATATATGTATAACTGTAATGTTAGTGATCACTGTGATAGTTCTAGTATGTGGTTAATCTTAAGATCAGCAGTGAAGCCAATCTGGATTATTGTCATCCTATGCCTAATTTAAAGCATGGTTATTTGTACATCATTATATTTTATGTTGTATTTTTTAGAGAAAAGATTTCAAGGAAAGACAACTAAGGTAAATTTATATATGTATTGAATGGTTGCCTAATTTTTTGATACTAGCTGTACCCTTCAAAAGCATGCTACATATATACCTGTTGACATATGTTTTGAAGAACATACAATATTATATATCAACAGAAGTTTTTTTCTGATAGTAGCATAAAAGATCAGTTGAATGACAACTCTTGTGCATCAAGACAAACCACTTATTTTATATCAATTAATTAAGCCCATTTTTATTCATTGCCAATTTTATTTGTCAATTGTATAACAAACATTTTAAATAAACGACAACATTTTTCAATTTTATACTATCACTTATTTCTAATAACCTAATTTAGCTCCATAGCTACCAAATGACAAGTAAAGTCATGTGGCGTTTGTCAAAAAATGAGTAAAGCATATTGCTGGTTAAAGGATTAAAGGGGAAGTCAGACCCCAAAAAAACTTTTTATCAAATGAAAGATTTTATTTTTACAAACCATATTCCAAAGTTTGAAAGCTCCAATCAAAATTATACCGGAGATATGAAACCACAAAATCATGAAATTTTGCTGTAAAAGCTGCAGCCATTGTATACATGCGAGCGAAGCCGCGATCGAGCAGCGGCTTCCGTTCTTGACGTCACTGCGCGGTGAGCGCGATAGCGCTCAAAATTTCATATCCAAAACAAACACAAAGTCTTCGATGCGTATTTCTTTCTCGATATTTATTTTCCTTTCTTTATAAATATGCCTTACTGTATGGTACCCGGTTGCACTAATTGTTCAAAAAAAACCAAAGGAAGTGAAATATCTTACCATCGCTTGCCAAATGATCAATATATTCGTAAAATGTGGCTAGGGCGAATTCGACGTGATAATTTGCCTAAACCTAATTCATGCTATGTGTGCAGCACGCATTTCACGCCAGATTGTTTTGAAGGTTCCCTGAAAGATTTATTTGGAATGAAAGCAAAAAAAGCATTAAAACCAGGTAGTGTACCTTCAAATATTCCCCTTTCTAAAGCGTAAACCAGAGCGGGAATCCTCAAGTAAGAGGCAGAAAAGAAAAGCGATGCAAGAGGTAGCCCATTAATGTCATTTTTACAGAATAATTTTTGATATTATTTATCTTGAGCATGAATAAGTATGTATTGATATATATAAGTGAGATCATTATATTAAAATTTTCTTTTGAACATTACACTTGAAACATTTTTTAATTAAATGAATCTAAATTCCACAATGTGCAGGAATTAGCCAGTATGCTTGAACAACCCAGTGATGCTGAAGAATCTTTACTCACATTGTCCAAGACCATGACTGAGATAGAGCCAGAAATAGATACTTCTGCTGGAAGAAGTGTGGCAATACTATGTGATAGTGATACTCCAAGTAGTGTTGATGCTGAAACACAGTGTGAAAAGATTTCAACACGCAGTATTGCAGTTCAGACACTGGCATAGAGGAAAAAGCCAAGAAGGAAAATAAAATACAGTAACTTTTCAAAAACCTCTAGTCCCATGAACAATAGTGCACATTCAATGTCAAACCTACCATTAGCTTCTGTTGTTATACCACCAATCATGCATGACATCACCCAAATTGAGAATGCATCATGTGGGGAAGATAATTGTTCAGAGCATGAGGAGACTGTGAATACCATAGATAAAAGCTCAACTGAAAGTGATCTGTCAGATGGTAGTGATGAAGATTATGTGTGTTCTTCCCCAAGTTCCAGCAATGAATCGGATGATGATAAGATAAACACAGAGAGAAAATTCATTGTTTTTGAAAGAAAGCTAGATGAGTTGTTCATATCATGCAAATTTTGTTCTTCCATATGTGAGATTGAAAAATCTACAGTGGGTAGCATGGTGATGTACAAGGCAATTTGCCACAAAAATCATATCTTCAAGTGGAAGTCACAGCCTATGTTGCACAATAAACCAGCTGGAAATGTTTTGATACCAGCAGCAACAATCTTTACTGGTTCAACATATGAGCCATTGAAGCAATTTGCAAATGCCTTGAACTTAGGTTTTGTGAACAAGGACCAGTTCTATAATATGCAGGATGAAATTGTCTTTCCAGTGATTAATAGCACCTATAGAAAACAGCAAAAAACTATAATAGAAAAATATACCAAGGCAGACATACCAATAGATTTATGTGGTGATGGAAGATGTGATAGTCCAGGTCACAATGCAAAGTATGGCACATACACGCTGATGGAAGAAAACAGTGGGAAAATTGTTGATTTTTCTTTGATACAGGTATCTGAAGTGTCTTCTTCCAATGCAATGGAGAATGAAGGTTGCCAGAGATCTTTGAATAATGTCATGGGTGAAAAATCCAAATTAGATCATTGACCACAGATCGCCACATCCAAATAACATCAGAGCTGCGGAAAAATATCCTCATATTATTCACCAATATGATGTATGGCACTTATCTAAATGGATAACAAAAAGCTTACCAAAAAGCAAAAACATGCTTCCCTTCAAAAGTGGATTCAGTCAGTGTCGAACCATCTGTGGTGGTGTGCAAACATGTGAAGGAAACGCTGATATTCTATGTGAAAAGTGGGTGTCTATTTTGAATCATGTTATAAACATACACCAATGGAAAAGTGGTAAGTATTTTAGGAAGTGTTCACACGAGAAGCTTTCTAGGAGGAGAGAAAGAAAGACAAAATGGTTAACACCAGGGTCTGCAGACTACATTGCCTTAGAAGATGTCGTTTTGAACAAGAAATTGTTGAAAGACATAACAAAACTTACAGAATTCCATCACACTGGCAACCTGGAAGTGTACCATTCATTACTATTGAAATATGTTCCAAAACGCCTTCATTTTTCATACAATGGCATGGTTGCAAGAACCCAATTGGCTGTGATTGATCATAATTCAAACACTGAAAGAAAACAAGCTCAGTTGAAAATGGCAATTCCAGATACAAAATAGTTTTTCCAAAAGGCCGTAATAAATGGATAGCCAAACCAATAACAGAGAACAAATCATTTTCCTTTGTGCAAAGCCTAATGGAAAATGTTGCCTCATATGACCATCAAATTCCAACAGCAAGGTTAAGTAACATTCCCAAAAACATTGTAAATGTACCCAAGCCAAGTAAAGAGGAAGTGATATATGCTCATAGGTCAAGGATGGGCAAGAAAAAATAATGAAACTATACCTGCATCACTCATCAGCAAATTCAAAACCTTTAAATACAAAATCTTCTTCTAGACCAGGTGGAGGGAAATGTGCCCGAATACAACAAACAGCACAAGATGGCAAAGGATTCCTTATTTCTTTTCCCAAAATTCCCCAACACCATCTTACAAATTGTCTGTAAGCAACATGCCTTTGCCTCTTATGCTCTGGTCCTTCAAAAGCATTTTTCCCATACTGCTGCTTGTATTGACTCCACGCCAATCTCAATACCCAGTAATTTAAACATAAATTTTGGAATACAGGGTTGTCAGTGATACATTCTGGAACATCAATACCCTCGAATTCAGCTGACTCTTCATTAATATCCCTGCAAGCAGCAATCTCTTTGCAACATATACATTCTTCATGTCTGTCCATTATTTGACAATGACCACATGTACACCTTGAAAGAAGAAAGTCATTTACGGATTTGACTTTGGCGTATATTTCGTACACTTAATGAAAAAAAAAATCAAATATTTGTAGATAACTATTACCAGTACTTATCTTGAAGTCTATTTGAGCCAGATTCAATTGAAGACTCAGCACTCGTTCCTTGCGAATCGTCTTCGGCGTCGCTACCCAAGTCGGTTTCAACCGGTTCATATGAGTAAGGCTGAATCATGTTTTCGTACGCCATTATTTGCTCATTTTCCGGAAATGTATCACTCACAACAGAGTGATCACTTGAAAATTCGTATGAATCATTCGTATCCATCACGTTATTTATTAAGCAAGTTTAAAATGATAAATACAGAGAGCTTTCACAAATGATTATGTGTTATGTGATGTTGATTGAAAGTTCCTTACCGCGCAGTGATGTCAAGAACGGAAGCCGCTGCTCGATCGCGGCTTCGCTCGCATGTATACAATGGCTGCAGCTTTTACAGCAAAATTTCATGATTTTGTGGTTTCATATCTCCGGTATAATTTTGATTGGAGCTTTCAAACTTTGGAATATGGTTTGTAAAAATAAAATCTTTCATTTGATAAAAAGCTTTTTGGGGGTCTGACTTCCCCTTTAACTACAGAGTGCAGACATTGTCAAATTTTCTGGTTAACCCATTACCCCTATATACTAGATCCTCACAATTGACAACTAAAACTGACCTGTGGCTGTACAACCAATAAAAATAGAATGAAAAGGTACCCTTCAATTCTTGGCCTCATCACTCATACATAGTCATGTGGTACTTTTAAAAAATGTAGTTGCTATGAATGGTGTATTGCTGTGAATTTTGTGAATTTGGTATTTTGTAAATTTTGAATTTTGTAAATTTTGCAATTTGTGCCTGTTGTATTATGTGAATGGTGAATTTTGTATTGCTGCAAGTTTTGTCTTGATGGGTTGAAGCATATGTTTTGTTATACTTTTTTATAGCAATGTAATGGTTGTGGAACAGAAAATGGAAATGCTTCAAAGAAGTGTAAAAGTTGTTCGAAGGAATTCATTTCGAAACGTGTAAATTCCATGGAAAGAATTAGGAAAATGGGTGTGACAAATCCTTCTCGCCAAAGGGAACTAATGATGTACAGAGTTAGTATCAATTCTCAAGATACTTCTATACAATACAGACCAACCCAATATTTGCAAATGGGAATAATTTTGGAAGTGTGGTCAATGTATGCTAAATATTTACATGCTACTAATTTGCTTCTGTGTATGTATCAAACTTTAAATATTCATCTGTCTGTGTACAGTATATGTATCTATAGGTATTTACTGTATGTACAATAATGTTTGTATGTGTGTATGCATTGCTGTATAAGTGAATGTGTAGCATTTTTTTCAACTGGAAAGATGTGTGCAGGCCGAGCAGATGTGGTGGTGTTATTTTCCTCCTGTTGTTTTGCATTGTCTTAGGAAACTTTAGCAGCAGGAAAAAGACCGTGACTTTCAGCAGAGCTTTTACAAACTATTTTTACTCAATTATTTCCAGTCGTTCATGTTGGGAACGAATTTGCTTTAACATAATTGAAAATCACATTTTCTAAGGATTTTGCCACCGATGATTGCTTACGGCTTTTGTTACTATAAGCAAACTAAGAAAGTTTATTTGTAATCTTTATTTATTTTAGGCTTCTGTCTTAAATGAACATCATGACCAACACATTATTGTTTTGTCGTTCTCAAGACATGCAAAGGCTATACCACTCACTTACACGGCACTCCTGGACCAGCTGCCAAGTTTCTTACTGAGACAGAGTATGGAAAAATAACAGAAAAGCTTTTGACAATTTCATGCGACGTAAGTTTATAAAATTGGATGAACTCCATCTAAGGGCAAAGCTTAACGTGTGTTCATTTATGCAACATTCATTTATGAAAATCCATGATCTGGTGATTCTATTAATCTGTTATTGAATATATTCTAATCCAACCCTTAGACTTACCTGACAATATATTATGCATACACAGGCTTAGCATAGTGATCAGGCATTAAAATTATAACATTTGATAAGTTCTATTTCAGGACCTTTTGCATATTAAGACACACGTGATTACCAGTACAGTACATACACAAACACTTTCACGTTTCCGTTGATTAGAACAAATATAAATTAAGGTCGAATGGTGAACATTGTATTATTAATTAAATGAAATTCCTAGTTTGTTTTTAACTGTATTGGTATTACTCATGTGATAGTTTTGTATGCAAATGAAAAAACATGTACTAGTTAGAATGTGTAATTATGGATGAAATTTTGCAAATATTGTTTCTTATCTGGATTAAACTGATGTCCTTGGAATGTTAAACACATGCGATAACCATTCCACCACAGAAACTATATGAACAAACGTTTTTTGCTTTCATTGAATAAAAATAAAAATCAAATTAGGAGTTAATGATAATAAGGAACGTCTTCTATCTATATATTGCGAGTGGGGAAGCCAGCAGGAAAATTTGTTCATGCTATGCAAATTTTACATTATCATTGTTCATTTCTTTAGAAAATGATTGTTTCTGCCATCATGAATGTGAAAATATTTGCATAGCAAGACTTTTTCCACCTCTGAGATGGGTTGGATCAAATCGTCCGAACTCAGTTTAGTTTATATCGTGTGAATAGGGCTTAAATCGTAATACCTGCAATGTCAATCATTTTCGTAAAATTTTCATGTGCATAAGACGACCTGACTTTGCTAACTAAAATATTGAAACAAAAGCTAAAATATTTGCAAGAGAAAATCAACATTTGATTAAAAAAAGAGTGGAGCAAGCCTGTGATATCTTCATTAGCACATTAAAATGCACTGAAGAAGAACAATTGTTCATTTCAGCTGCAACAAAAGGACAATCCAAAAATGAAGAATGGCATAAAATGAGACATGCCATGGTAACAGGCAAAAAAGTCAAAGCTATTTACATTAGACAAAAAACAAAAGAGTGCACCCCTTCAGCTGATTTATCAAAAACTGTTGCTAATTTTTTGGAAGACAAGAACAGTTTGATAAACTCAAATGCTATGCAATATGGACTAGACAAAGAAAAAGAGGCTCTGTATCTTTATAAGAGACTACGTACAAAGAAGCATGAAAAAGTTAAAATAGAAGAACCTGGGTTGCTTGTTGACCCCAAAAATTTATGGATGGGAGTGAGTTTGGATGGAATATGCCAATGTGAATGTTGTGGCTCAAGGACACTTGAAATTAAGTGCCCTCTAACATGCAAGAATATGGATCCCAAATCTGCATTTTTCTCAACAGCTATTGGTGGGAAAACTAATGATAGTGGGAAAAAAGTGTTGAACAGGAACCATTTACATTACTTTCAAGTCCAAATGGGTATGGCTATAAGTCAAATCGACAAATGTGATTTTATTGTACATACAGAAAAAGGAATTGATATTGTAGAAATACCATTTGATGCTGACTTCTGGAGTGATGTATTTAAAACTGTGTTTCTTTTCTATAAGAATTATATTATTAGTAGTCTTTTATTGAAATATGTGCCATGATAAAATTTTATATTTACAAATAATTGTTTTTCAAAATAAAAATATTAAGTATAATTTATTTTAGATTATGTAAGGATTACTTTATACCACGCTTTCCTAAATTACATAAAGCGGCACACATAAACAAAATGTTGTCCAAAACTGGTTTTAATGTCAATGGAATAACTCCTGATAAAATCTGAAATTGCTTTAGTTTCAATATATTCCTTTCGACATGAGATCTTAATGATGCCACATGCTGAGTATGAGTTGTTCCACGAGAGGAAAGTCTTGGTCCACGACAATAGGCAGGAGAAATAAGGTGAACTTTCTTCACCACAAGTAGATCTCTAACAAGGAATCCCTTATCAGCCATGACACCATCACCTTTTTCTAGCAAGTTTATGAGACCAGAGTTGGTGACAATTTCCTTGTCAGATATTGAACCAGTCCAAAGGGGTGGGATGAAGGAAAAAATACCAGTAGGGGTAATGCCAACTAATAGTTTAGCAGTGTTCCAATGCTAATAGCTGCTCCATGAGATTTTCTGGCTCCCAGGTATCTTAGGTTTTTGTATAAAAAATTCTGTGCAATCAATAACTATCCTTAAGTTTTTAAACTTCTGAAATCGCTTAGGTAGTTTCTCTTTGATTTCAGACTTACTTGGCCAAGGCACAAGGAATGAAAGCTCGTTAGACAGGAATTTAACCCAAGTTGTATAAACCCGGGAAACATGACTAGCTGAAACAGAAAATGTATCAGCCAAAAACATGACATAAAAATCCTTTTCGTGTCCTGACAAGAGTAAGAATGAATTCTTCCCAATGTGTCCATACTCTTGAGACATGCCCTCTTTTAATAGACTGGGCAGTGGCTGTATCAGTAGAACCTCTCCAATACCTTAGACTCTTTGCTTTCTCTTCAATCAAACTGAAAACTAAGTTCAACTTTTCTAGTGACAATCCAGTGTAGCGGTAGCAATTCTTCTGGCAAATAGCTTGTTCAATAAATAAATTTCTTTTCAACGTTTTAACATCGCCCTGGCAAAAACAGTCAATGAGGTCATGTTTATCACTTTCAAAGCTGTAGCTATTATCATAATCATAACTTGTAACATCCAAGTCTGTTGTACAATTTATTTGTGGACTGTCTTCGTGCACAGACTCTGGCTCAGTACACTGCTCAGGAGCAGTGATTTCAGCAGCAAAAAATGCCTTATCCTGATGCTCAAAGCTTTTCTCAGTACTGCCTTCACACAGAATTTTTCGTCTCTTTCTTTTCGGAATATTTGATTTGCTTCTATCTTTCGGCGGTAGTCGTTTACTGGTTTCTTTTGATTGGTATCCTTTTAGATACAAAGTTGGATTGGGACAGCCCTCGGATCGATAACCAGCAAGAAAATGATTAGAACAAACCTTCGTATTAGCAGTGACTTTGAAGTTTTTCCTGTTGATCAGCTTTTGCCAAGCACTCTTGTCTTTCGCGTTTTTCGGAGAAAAAAAGCGAAGAATACCAACGTGATCGGAAACGATATATTTTTCAGGATATCTTCTATCGTTATCACAGCCATAAACAGCACAGTGATCCCCATTATAATTTGAATATAAACTTTTTACTAAAAGATGTTTTTATAAAGATACACAATGTTTGCCCCCTGGCGATCCCAGAATGCATTGCAAAAACCGCGCAAATTTAAGGGAGACTGGCAACCGGCAAATACTTCATTCTATCGAGACGATTGGGACGATCGTAAAACTTGGCTGACGATCATATGGAAACATTTCAGACGATGGAAACGATTGAAACGCACGTCAAAATGGCGGCAACTAACAGCGATGAGTTTAACTCTCTACATTTTATGGAAGAAGTACAGAAATACGAATGTCTTTATAATAAATTTAACAAAGATTATAAAAACAAGTTTGTCCGCTTCAACTGCTGGAAAAAAATTGCAGAACAATTCAACATTGACGCATCCGAAGCTGAGAAGAAATACAATAATATCCGCACAGCGTATGGTAGATATCTTCGCAAAAAAAAGTCAATTCCTTCTGGTTCAGGAAGAAATGCTGTACCTGTTCCTTCAGAATTCGCCAATTTAGACTGGTTAACAATGCATATCAACCAGAGAGCTAATACTTCAACAAACATGTCATTTATTCAGGTAGACAATGGCAATGAAGAAAGTATGACAGGTTTAGACAGGGTCATTACAGATGTTGGGGACGTTGAAGAAGAAATCGATGATTGTCAAAGTGCGAACTCTCCACTATCATGCTTATCAAGCCCCAGTCCAGTCTCGTTTGAAAGCGAATTAAAAAGAAGACCACTAGCTGAAAAAATCAAAATAAAATCAAAATGCCCTTGGAGTGGAAAAAAATCAGCAGACAAATTTGATTCTGCCATTTTAAAAACAGCAACATCACTGGCAGGAGTAGCAGAGAGGGTATTACAAAAACCAGAGGCTGCTAAAAAGAGAAAATATGTAGAGAATGATGATGAAGATACTCTCTATTGCAGGAGTATTGCACAAAGAATGAAACGCTTATCTCCACAGATGAAGGGATATCTAAAACTTCATTTTGAGCAAGCATTGTATCAAGCAGAATTTGGTGGTCAGCCATTTCCAAATCCAAATGTATCAAGTTTTTCTGGTCAGCCCATGCCCATTCCAACTGTGCCAGGTGTTCCTGTTCATCCAATTTCAACAACTATGCCAGTTATGCATTCTGTGAGCTTGGCTCATGGGTGCTACAATACATCAAGGGATCAATATACTACCAAAACAAACTCAAGTGAAAGCTTTGGTTATTCTGCACGTGATTATTTGGCAAAAGGTGACGAACAGGGACAATTTAATAATTTACAACCATTGTAAAAAGAAAAAAAATCAAGCATCATGTTACCATGATAATTAATTTTTAGTGTTTGATTTATTAATGACATTTGCCATAAATACATAAACATCAGGATGAACAATTTAGATAATATTCAAACAAATGAAAATAACAAGTTCATTGTTACATAATTACACTATCTCGGAGTATTAATTCCACAACTCCTAACATGCTGTAGCTGCCAAGGTAATTCACCAACAGGGCTGTTGAAATAATGTTTAAAATTATTCCTTATGTTGTTTGATTCAAATGTATATCTGTTACCCCCAACACGATTAAGCTGTCGGAATCCCCCTTCATCTCCTTCAACCTCATTCCTCCATCCACCAGGCACAATATTTCCAATGTTGTCTTCTGTATCAACAAATCCTGCAGGAATGTATGCTGCATTTTCTGTCAATCGCAAATAGTTATGAAGGCAGACATAACTGGCATAGACTGCCTCTTATTGGTCTCCTAAAAATTCTCCACTTCGCTGACAGAATGCCAAATGCATTTTCAATAGTGCGTCTTGCTCTTGTAAAGTCTGTAATTGAATACCCTTTCAAATTCTGACATATTTTTCCCAGGATATGGCTTCATTAACCATGGTTTCAAAATATCATCACCAACTAAAACATAAGCGAGATTGTGACCTCCATGAGTGGAAGAGCTTGGGAGATGCATTTCTGAGGGATGGTCTTCAAGACATTGTCCGAACTCAGATCTTGAAAGTACACTTGCATCATTTGTGCTCCCAAAATCTCCAATATCTACAATTGTGAAGCAATAATTTGCATCGCATACGGCTAACAACACAATACTATGAAATCCCTTGTAATTGTAGTATGCGGATCCAGCATTTTTTGGGCAGTCCATCATAATGTGCTTCCCATCAAGTGCACCAATACAGTTTGGGAAGTTCCATTCCTTCTCAAACTCATTGGCAATATGCAACCAGTCACTTTGTGTTGCTGGAGTTTTAAGATATTCAATCTTCAGCACTGCCCAAATGGCTTCACATGTTTCCTTTATTATTTTTGACACAGTTGCTCTACCAATTCGGAATGAAAACGAATGTGATTGTTGAGAGTCACCAGTAGCTAAATATCTTAAAGTAATCATTAATTGCTCTGCTTCAGAGATTGCTTTTCTTGATTGACATTTTCTTTTGGCTATCAGTGGGCCAACAAGTGAGAGAAATTGCTCAAAACGTTCTGGTGTCATTCTTGTGAATCTAGAAAATGTGAAATATTGACACATTTTTATACTCTTACAATGCATTAAAGAAGCTAGAGAAGTGAAAGTAAATGTTCCATGACATATGACACACAAGACCTACAAAATTAAGAGCGTAAATGTAATATAAGTACAATACTCATACACTCATACCTGAAGTAAAATTCTCGGTCGTGAATGCGAAGTTCTCTTACAAGGGTATGATAAGCTCCTAACTCCTCTCTCTTCTGATAAATTCTCCTCACCCAAAATCTATGTTTTCTCCTGTTCATCTTGTCTCGTCTTCTTCGTATAATAGCAAGGATATATAGCATGCTGGACGCCAAAATCAACAGGCTAGCTCCAAGATTGTTTTCTTCCGCCATGTTTGTTTACAGTCTTGCGATGCAGCGATTGGTTTAAAGGCGATTATATGGAAACGTTAAATCGTCCCAATCGTCTGAAACTTTATGGAACGATTCGGACGATTATATGGAAACTAGGCTTAAGCACCAACTTTCGATTAACTACAGCTTTCGATTCTCGGCTTATATGTGATTGTACAATGACGTACGATTAACCGCTTGTGCGTAAACTGTGGTCAGTTGATTAGCCATGTTCTGTACGTTGTCTGTGTGGTCAATAGGGTGACCACGTCCTATACGTAAGCTTTTCCTGTTATTGTGGTTAACATACGCATGCATGTATGAGTAAGGCATTTTACAAAGAGCACTAACTAGTTAACTAATAATATATTTAAGTATACAACAATAATAACTATAATTTACATGATTATGGATTATCATGTAACAGAAGTAAATCATAATAAACGATGAATTTTCGATGATGAAATGACAACAGGTCTGGTAGAGTGCCTTTAAATTATAAAGCAGATAAACAAGGTGAAGGGATCGACTTTGAAGGAGATTTATTTCAAATATACGGCAATATACAGAAGCGCATGGCTGAAAAATAGGAAGAAGAAAATTTTTGCTCAGTCACACGTTACACCAACAATAGATGTGAATGACCAATACCCAACATCTGGAACTGTTGACTATGTTCTGTCTCACCAACGAAATGTTCGTGATTTTCCATACCCTCAGCCAGGTTTTAATGCTTTTCCGTCCAGCTCTGTCTTATTAGGGTAACCCAGATTGCGAACAGTAAGTCCTTACAGTGATGCAAGCACTAACATTAGTAGTGAAGACGTTTGAATTAGTAGAACATAAACTTACCACAGATTGTTCTTATTTTTGGTTTTCTGCAAATTGCAGTTTATGTTAACTTAAAACGTTTGAGCAAAAGTTAGTTTTTTAAGTTTTCTAGTTGAGTGTTTGATCAGATAAGTAGAATGTTACCTTTACCAAAGTTTTCTATTGCAATTATATTAAAATTTTTGAATACTTTTACATGTGCAAGGAAATGTAATCCACAGCACTTTTCCTTTGGTTTTATTGAAGCATTGCTTTCATATGTAAATGGCAGTTTGCCCAAATGCACCTTTCCAGTATTTTGACGATCTCATTTTATTTAATGCCTAAATGTTAAAACATTGTCTTAGCATGCTACACAATCATACTATGCTTAATTTTTCCCTCATCAAGGGCTAATCAAACAGTTCTATTATTAAGATCTTTTAGAACAGCATTTAAGAAACAAATATTTTGACAAAATCTTTGAACATGCAATCCTTATTATATGAGTTATAATAAATATTCTTTGAAGTATGCAGTAATAGCATCCCTAGTGCAAACTCCTTGAGCTGTTGAGCATGAATATCTGCTTTGAACAAATGAAGTAGGTTGCTTTTCAGCATCAATAGCAATTTTTCTCTGTACTACGGTGTTTGAACTAATGGCAATTTTTCTCTGTTCTATTTGAGCTTTGTGTCTTTCACAGAAATTATGCAACACAAAACATGCATATATTAGAACTGGCATATCCTCCAAGTCCAGGTTTATTGGTGTTGTTAGAACTTGCCACTGAGCCTTAAGCCTTCCAAACAGGGACGGATCTAGGGTATGTCAAATCAGTCACGCGACTGATGTTTATGTTTCGAAAACAATTTCTCAAATTTAATGATTAAAGTAAGTGGTTTGAACCCGGGAGTATCGTTAGATGTTTGTCAATGTAGATCGTCCAGGTTGGTAAAGTCCTGAGAAGGACTGTTTTTGTTGTTTTTGACTGACGTTTCGACAATCTTTTGACTCTGAAGATGACTACCGCTATGGTTGTCGAAACATCAGTTAACAACAACAAAAACAGTCCTTCTCAGGACTATACCAACCTGGACGATCTACATTTACAAACATGTAAACTTAATGATTACAATTTTTTTGATCATTAAATTTTCGTTCTGTAATCTTTGGATTTCAACATCAAAATTCTGTTTTTACTACCTTAGTAAACAGATCAGTAGATAAAAACATATCTACAATTATTGTAACCGCCTGACTGATTAGCGGATCTATAAGAGAGTCCAATTTCTATAGTGTAATTGGTTTGTTTAAATTTTGTCTTACTGTGATTGGTTTGACCGATTTCGACTGACAAGCAACTGAACGAACATAGTCAAGCTCACTCTCTGAATTGAATGTTTGATCGCTTCATAGTAATTTTCTTAAGCATGATAGAAACTAAACTACAATCAGATGGAACTTTGTTGGGTTTGATGCAGTGGCCATGATAATCACACTGATGTCTGGAGTTTCTATTACATTATTCCCACACATAGAAGAAAGACTAGCACACGACAACTAACTGATACATATAATGATACAGCTATTTACATACGTGACGCTATACTATGATTGGTCAGTTTATTTCCTCAGCTCTTGTTACAAATAATATCGATTACTTTTACAATCATTTCTATAATTAAACATGTAGGAAGTTAACACACACTTTACAAGATACACATATACACATCACAAGAGAGCATAACCTAACATCCCCCCTTGCTCGCAATGTCCTTTTAATTGCAAATTAAATGTTTGAGCCTATATAGCTTGATTTTACTTGCCGCCTTGGTAAATATGTCTGCTAAGTTATCTTCACTTGCAACGTACCTTAAGTTTATCGTGTTGCGCTGCGTTTCACTTCTAATGAAGTGATACTTAATGTCAATATGCTTCGATCTCTTATGAAAAGCTGGATTCGTAGCTAGTTTGATTGCTCCCTGGTTATCGGCATTGATAATCGCGCTCTTGCGATCTGAGAATATGCCAAGGTCGCAACATAATTGCTTCAAAAACTTACTTTCCTGCACTGCCTCAGCCATAGCTATATATTCTGCCTCACAAGTAGAAAGTGCAACTACCTGCTGCTTCTTGCTTTTCCAGGATATCAGAGGTCCTCCCTCTGACAATAGGAAAGCGTATCCGGAAATGCTCTTCCTGTCACTAGCATTTCCCCCCCAATCTGAATCACTGTATCCTACCAATTCTAAAGGGTTCTCGCTCTTTCTAAACGTTAGATTTAATTGTGGTGCCCCCTTAAGGTATCTTAGGACATGCTTTACTGCATTTAATGATGCAACAGTCGGTTTGGACATGTATTGAGACAGTTTGGTAACTACATAGCATAAGTCCGGCCTAGTGCCTGTCATAATGTAAATCAGACTCCCAACAACTCGTTTATACAAGTTAGGATCCTCTAATTCGGGTGAATCCATTAATATATCGTGTTCGGGAAGTGACGGTGCCATTTTGGGTTTGCAATAGGTCAATTCAAATTTTGCCAATATTTTTTCTACCTAACAGCTTTGGCTCATTTCTATTTCGTCATCAGAACACTTAAACTCAATGCCTAAAAACCAATGTAAAATGCCCAAATCTTTCATTTTGAATTGCTTGCAAAGACCCTCTTTTACGCCTTTCAGCAAGATTGAGTTACTTGCAGAAATTATTAAGTCATCTACCGAATGATCATGATAATACATTTGTTACGGTCCCATTTACGAACTTATAATACACACATGGGTCTGCAAGGGATTGGCTGAACCTGTCCCCAGTCAAGTAGTTGTGTAATGTTTGATTCCAGTTCCTACCGCTTTGTTTAAGACCGTACAACGACTTGTTTAATTTGTAAACAAGTTTTTCTCCATTCTTACCCAATTTTTCGTAGCCTTTTGGTTGCTCAACTTAAATGTTGCAATCAATGGGTGCGTTTAAATATGCCGATTTAACATCCATTGGTGTACTTGCATATTGTTTTGGACTGCGTGTTGAATCAGCACACGAATTTAATTCATTCTAGCAGTGGGTGCGAACGTCTCATGATAGTCAATTCCTGAGACTTGAGAATAACCCTTAGCTACATACCTAGCCTTAAACGTCTCCTCATTGTTCATGCCTGTTTTGATTGTGTACACCCATTTTCCACCCACTATTTCACGATTTGGGGACAACTCAGTAAGTGTGAAAGTGTTATTATCCACTAATGAGGTAAACTCATCGTCCATGGCGTTTTTCCACTGGAATGAATCTTTAGAACTTACAGCTTCTGAATAAGAAGTGGGTAAATCATTCAACCTGTAACAATAATCGACTGCAAGCTTAGTTGTGGTATCGGTTATGTTTTCAACTACATACTCATCTAGATATGCTGGCCTATTCCGGGTTCGGGTTGGATACCTTACAGTGTCATTCCCTTCTATATCATCAGGTCTCCCCCTATTTCTGCAGTAGGCTGTTCTGACGTAGGTGTTGCGTAAGAAGGTTGGTAAATTTCATCATGGATACTATCAAAAAACTTTACGCATCTTACTCTCTCTACTTTCATGTTTTCAGGGTAATATACCAGGTATGCAGGGCTACACTTATCATACCCAATGAAAATCCCCTTCTTGCTTCTAGGTTCAAGCTTTTTCAGGTTTTGCACATAGGCATAGCACACTGAACCAAACACATGCATGTTACTAAGATTAGGTTTTACCCCTGTTAAAGCCTCATAAGGGGTTTTACCCAACCGGTCATTGAAACACCTGTTTCTGATATACACAGATGCAATCACTGCATAAGTCCACAAGGTCCTTGGCAGCTTTGACTCAAGTAGCAAACACCTGGCCATATTAAATAAACTTAGCCAAGCTCTTTCTGCCATCCCATTTTGGTGAGGCGAATAAGGAGCACATGGCTCATGTTTAATCTTGTTATCATGCAGAAGGGTTCTAAACTCATGTCCAACAAACTCCCCTCCATTATCACTTCTAATACATTTTACTTTGCCGAAAGGTGCAATATCAGCCAGAAATTGTTTTGTGGCTTTGATAGTGTCAGATTTGTATTTCAAAAAATATATCATGATCACCCCACTGTAATCGTCAATAAATGACAGGGCATACTTGAAACCGTCTTTACCTTCTGGGCTGATCGGTTCTGCTAAGTCTGAGTGTACTAGAT